AACCGGACCACAAGTGTACCCAGAAGCAAACCCCACAAAACAGGATTTCTTCTCACAGAAAACAGTTGTTTTAATGCTACGGCACTCCTCAAGTAACGCTGTCATTTCTCCAACTGTTGTATATTCCCATAATGAAAGCCCCAGAGGTGGGAGGGCAGACTCACTGCTGATAAGGGACCCTTTCTTTACTTGCATTGCTAATAGTTTTCGCAAGAACAAGCAAAATGCTGTCTGTAGAAGGACAATGGACAGAAAAAAAATGTCTTTTCCTTATTGCAGACGTGAGATAATCAGCCCCTGGTTTCCTGCACCCATCCGAATGCCTAGAGGGAGCAACATGAGGAGGGAGTTCTGAGTGGCCTCTAACACAGCTTCCCCGGCCGGCCACACACACTGCACACTCCAGGTCCCATTCCGACTTCCGTCCCTTCCTAGACTGCAAGCTCAGAGTGGCCCCACATGGGAGCCCGTGGCCTGTAGCACTGGCCAAACGAATGTCTGCCGCCTCTGGAAAGATACTAAGCCACTCAGTGTGTCTACAACCTCAGCACAGAGGAAGGCACCTAGAACATTCTAGAAGCTCAAGGACCATTTGCTAAATTAAGAGAAAAGCCTTCTAAAGTAAACTTAATGAAGCCTTCACCTACTGTCTTCTGCCTGTTTAGAAAGTGGTCCTTTCTAAACAGTACATCTCAGAGAGAGGCTGAGCAGTCCTCCATGTCAAATCCTCCAGGGTAGGGCAGCAAAAACCTCATCAGCATCAGCAAATACCAGGAAGCAGCTATGTCCCCAAGGCACACCATTGGCAGGTACCTGGAGTGCTCCATGCCCGCACCGCACCGCACTGCTCTGGACACAAAGCCAAAGCCGCCTTCACACGTCCTGGCCCTCTGGGAGGTCTGCCTCCTGCCTCAGTTCTTCCCTCACTCTGCCACCTGGCTTCAGGACATTGCCAGCCTCCTGAGCCCGCAGACCACAGCACCCATGTGCCCCAGGACTGGTGCTCCCCACTGGCAACGGATAGACAGGGCAGTGATCTTTGTTGTACCATTCTCTGACCCCTGGTGACACTGCATCTGTGAGTCAACCTATAAAGCCTGATTAGTAGGAATAAAGCTTTACCCTGACCGCTCGTCCTAGACCACAACCACAGCTTGCCTTAAACCACCTAAATGCTCACTGTTCATATGAGGAAAAGGTCACAGATGTGGCCTAACAGAGTTCAGGGAGATGAGCAAATCATCCAAGTTCCCAGGCTCTACACAGTTAGGCTCTGCATGCCGAAATGGGCCCGTCAGAATGCAGCAAACCTAAATCATGGTGACATCTGCCTTTTCCGTGCCAGAGTCCTGAAGTGGGAGTCTCTCCTCAGACTCCACCTCCCATGGCGCTGGCCTTCAGCGGCTCTGATAAGACAGAAGCAGCTCTCGAGGGGAGCCTGGGCAACAGGGGCTTTGTTCTTCAGGGAGAGAGAATTATCTTCGAATTCTGCTGGCAGATTCCCAGACACTAATGACTTAGTCCTCCAGACGAGAGTGCAGACAGACTGTCAGATGCCACGTTAACATCTGCGTGTGCTTTTAAGGGAGAGGCAGCAGGAAATTTTAAGTTTGATGAAGTTGATTTTAAAGATGTTCTGACATGGTGTGATTTTATAAGAATGTGAGATGTATAAAAAGACAAAAGGGAGCCAGGTGCCATTTAGTGACTTTGTGAGAACTGCTCTCAAAATACTAAAATAGTACATATATACATATATATAAATGTTAAGGATGCAGCTCACTGCAAAGACCCTAGGTTCAACTCAGTGATGCAGGGGAAAGAAAGATGAGGCGTTGACTGCAAACAAAGGATTTAAAGTTAGCACAATCAGGTGTCCAAAAGGTAGAAACTGCAAGAGGTTGTATGCTCCCCGATGTTGTGGAGACTGCTCCCAAAGTCTTTCCAGAATCTCACACGACATTCACGGTCAGCCAGACTAAGTTGTCCAGATGGTACCCGGTATGAGCAGGCCCATCAGGCCCATCGTTAAAGCACTCAGAATCTACTTCTTCATATGAACACAACCCACCGGGCGTGGAAAAGTTGGATGCTTGAGCGCTAAAGAAGCCCATTTCAGTCCTCTGGGTCCCTGTCTCCTTCCGGCCACAGGCCACAGAACAGAAAACGAGTCCCCCTAGTGTCCTGACGGTGGTGAGGCTGGAGCACTGCAGACAGGACCCTCCTGCTTTCCATACAGACTCTCGAGGAAGCACAGCACAGGAATCCAGAACCCAAGGAGCTGTGGCCACCTTAGAAGGAACGCTTCTGGGACCCAAACCCAACACTGGCCGGGCGAACCTCTCCTCCAGACAACCGTTCTAGTTGTGCTTTAGAAGCCAAAGGAATCCACTTATCTCTCAGCAGAAAGTTCATGCCCATCCCTGCCCACCACTGAGGGCCTGGAAGCCTGCATAGCTGCCCCGGAGCTGCACTCTGGTAGCGGGAGCCTCCTTCCTGAACCCCTCCACCCTACCTGACACTCTGCGTCTTTCCTTGGCACCCTTAAAAACCCTCTAACACCCACATCTGGATGACTTCCTTGCCTTCCTGGAAAGGAATCAGCAGACCAGGCTGGATAGAGGAGTTCTCCACAAGCAATTTTCACTCAACTCACACAGCTTGAAATAAGGTGTTAGGAGAGGGGACAACGATGAAGTGTGAAACCTTTCAGCCAGTTCCTTTGCTCCCCCCCCCCGCCCCCCAGGACTTAGGATGCCTGAGTAATTCGTCCATGTCACCCATTTGTGAGTCAAGAAAAGAAGCCACGGTTGGCCTGTTCTTCTCCTAATTTAGAGCTCTGCCTTATCTTCAGTCTATCAAGGCTGATCAGAGATGGGAAGCTGGAGAGGTCAGAGGAAAATTAGTCCAGAGCAGCACCTCCATTTAGTGAAAAAGCACTCCAGGCCGGGCCAGGCTCTAGGTGATACAAAGCCCCCACCTGTTCTCTCCCCAGGATTCTCCTGGAAGTCCGAAGGGGCCTGGACTTCTCTCTCCAGGGGCCCCTTACATAAGACCCTGTAAAACTTCCCGTGACATTCATGGAAAACGTAAGTTGCTACTCGGCTTCCTCCGAATAGCAACTCCGGGGATCATGCAAAGGGGATGAGTGACAAAATTCATGGATTCGGTTCTGCTCAACCTAGGTCCATCCGCACAGGGACAGGAAAATCCATCCCGATTAAACAGGGCCACCCAGAGCTGGCTTGAACGTGCAAGGCACAATCTGTTCCTTCCGAAGTGACCCATTTACAACCTGATCCTGCCGGGGAAGGTTGCAGGGACTCGAAAAGGATGGGCTGGTGGCAGAGGCTCTCAGAAGGCCGACGGGAACAAGGCACTGGGCGCAGCTCGGTGGTCAGGAGCACGGCTCGGGTCCCCGCTCCAGCTGCGCCACTGTCCGGGTTCCCTAGCCACTGCTCCCCTCGGGCCTACAGTGGGGAACGGGTGAGGTCGCCCGCTCTGCAGCCAGGAGCCGCAAAAGTTCTCCGCACCAGAAAAGGCAGCAGGGACAGTGACCAAGCGAGCCCAGGGGCTCCGGGCGCAGGGCTTGGTCGCTGGGCAAGGTAGGCGCGGGTACCCACGTTCCGGGCAGGGCACAGCTACAGGTCCGAGAAGCCGCTCCGCGCCTCGGGCTCTTACCTTGGGCGCGCCGGCCCCGGGCAGCGAGAGCCCGGGGAAGAGCCGGGGCGCGGGCGAGGGTTCGGCGGGTCCGGGCAGGTGCAGCCCGCGTCCGCGTCTCAGCCGCGGCGCCGCCACTCCACGCTCCCGGGCCACGCCGCGGAGGGTCCGGCCGCCCGGGCTGCGCACTGCGCCCGCGATCCTCCGCCTCCGCTCCGCCCGGCCCTGCGCGTGCGGCGGGCGCCACCGGGCCTGGGCGCGCCCGCCGCCCCGGGCTAGGCAGGCCGCGCCCCCGCTCTCCGCGGGTGCGGGCGGCGCCCCCGGCCTGGACGAGGACGCGGCAGGAGGGCGAGAGAGCGGCCCGGGAAGGTCACGCGCGGCGGCGGCGGCGGAGCAGAGCCCGGCCTGGCGAGCGCGCGTCCCGGGGCCGCGAGCCGGGCCGGCCGAGGGCGCCGCGGCCGGCGTGCAGGGCCGGGCTCTGCCGCGTCGCGCCGGGCCAGGGCCGGTCCGGTCGGGGCGGACGGTGCAGTGCGTTCCGGTCCGGGCAGTCCCGTCCGGGCCGGCGCCGCGTGCCCGGGAGAAGCTCGGCAGCTGCGGCGCCGCCGCTCCGGTCCGGTCTGCGCGGCTCGGCCGCGGGCGGGCGGGCGGGCGCCGGGGGGCGGGGCGGGGCCTGGAAGCACCACCCTCAACCCCGTGACCGCTCCGCCGGCCAATAGGCGGCGCCGCAGCCGTGCGGCCCGAATGCCCGCCCCGAGGAGGCTCCGCCCCCCTCCGGCCCCGCCCCCTGCCTCTGCTCGCCGGGCGCGGGCGGAAGCAACACCCGGAGCCGGAGCGCGGGCCGGGTGCGGCGCGGCTGCTGGCGGTGTCCCCGGCCTGCGCCCCCACCCGGGATCCAGGCTCGCTGGGGGAGCGGCGGCCCAGCTGCCGCGGGGGGCGGCGTGAGAGCAACCAGCGTCCCCCACGCTCTCCTGGAGGCCAGGAAGGGCTTCCCGGCCCTGCCCACACTGCTCCCAGGGCTGCATCTCCGGCTCCCAGCGCGCATGGCGCCCCGCGCGACATCCTCGCGTGCACCGGGGCCGGGGCTCCCGAGGGGCGGAGCAAGTCGATGAGGGTCCCCGAGCAGTGCGCGATGAGGGTCAGGCGTCCGGGGTCCCCTTCCCCGGCCCCCACCTACTCCGCCCCCCTCTCCCCGGGCTCTGAGACCCAGCCTGGAGGATCGGATCAGAGACCCGGCCCAGAGCCCCCCCAGGCCAGCCTGTCCCCGCAGGCACCATCCGCGCAGCCACACCGCCTCGGCGGACCCGAGGGATGACAACGGTCCTCGGGCTGCTGGGCCTCACCGTGCCGGCGCCGGGACGCTTGGTGCCTGCAGTTCTCGCAGGCGTCGCCGCGTGCAGGAGGCAGCTCAGGGATGAAAGAGCAGGCGACATCCTAGAGACCAGCAATGTGCAAGTTGAGCTCAGCGCGCCTCCCACAACAGCCCGGCCCGGACCTTGGAAAACAAGGGATCGTTTTTATGTTTTGCGAGCCGCGTGTCCCTTTTCCAACTGTTCCTCCTCCCCGCTCCAGCCCCCGCCCCGGAACCGGGTAAAGTTAAACCCAGAATCTGTGCCTTCTTTTTACTGATCGCTTGTTTCCCCTCTTTCCTGGTGCAAAAATGCATATTTTACACGGTATTCGCATATTAATAAGGGGGAGGGAGGCGGGACTTGGAATTTACAAGCAAAGCTGGAATAAATGAATTGTATCACGAACGAGAAGATAAGTATGTGGGAAAGAAGCCTATTACTGCCACCCCGGTGCGCGCACCCGCCGCATCTTAGAAAAACAAAGCAGCCCGGTGGGTTGGGGTCCACGCTAGTCAGCCGGGCTCAGGGTCTCGGGCTGCTACCCTAGGAGAGCTCGCACATCCGGCCTGAGGCAGCAGACGCCTTGGATGTGGAAAAGCTTTGCTCCAATTCAAGGATGCAGTTTTTAAGTCAGTGGCATCTCATGCTACAAAAGATAGGGACGTTTTCAGACCGAAGTGCTCCACAAACCAGCTCTGGTTAGTTTGTAGCATGTCAGAGCCCGCGCTGTAAAAATCCCTTTGGGAAACTGTAAAGCTGCCAAACTCCCCGGCCCAAGCAAATCATATATGTGTATATATATATATATATATATCCTTAGGTTGGATATGGGTTGTCTAGGAATTATAGTATTTTGACATAAACCAAGATACAAATATCTTAATATTTCAACGATGACATAATATAGTACAAGGAATTCAAAATAAAATATGTGCAGTGACATCTTATTTCTAAAGAATCAGCGCAGATTTTGCTAAGAGCAGAAATATTAAAAAATATTGCGCTCTAAAGCAACTGTTGTCTATTTATCTCTGCATGAAGACATGCAGAAGATATTCCACTAGGTCTCTTTTTTTTTAGGGTCAAGGAGCTCTAATCCTAAGAAACGCCAGGTCTTGAAATAACCACTAGGGGGCCTTAGAGGAATCGCAAAGAGGAGCCCGGAAAACAGGCAGGCACTAACCTCGGTGGGGGGGTGGGGGGTGGGGGGGGGGATCTTGCTAGTTCCATTTTCTGTGTCCCTAACAGAAGTAGGATCAGAAGATAAGTTAGGGGCATGATTTGAGACAGTCAGGTTTTATGTTTAAAACATCTGGTGAACCCAAGTTTGGACTCAGGAGCCAAAAAATTTTTTCACCTCTAAAAAGAAAAAGGGAATAAAGGCAACGCAATGAGTTCTACCATTTCAGACAGGACCTACTTTCCTAAAATGTGGGCACTGTTTGCCACAGGCTTTGCGCACGTTTCCAGAGCTCGGTGGTTAGATGCTGGAATCCCACCTGCCAACTTAGGTGAGGGCAGGCCAGCCACAGGGGCACAAGCACCAGGGAAGAGTCCGTGGCCCTGCCTGACCAGGTGCCCACTAGTTGGCGCTGGACCCTGGCTGGGTGGGTGATGTTGGTGGTGGAGAGGGGAGGCTCTGCGGGCCTCAGAAGTGGCTGGTGATGCACAGTAGGGTACTGGAGTAAATGGAGGAAGCTTCCTTCAAAGGCTGCTTAGCTAGCATGGAAGGATTGCAATAGCTTAACACTAATGCTGTATTTGTCAAAGCAACTGAATTTGAGAGCAAACCCTTCAAAGCTGCCCAGAATGTTTCTGTAGGCTTCAATGTCTAGCAATCAAATTGTCAGGGCAGTTGTGTAATATCTTTCCCACATCGTCGCGGTCAGTAAGGTTAAGATGCCCTTTATGAGAGTGAAGAATGCAAATGGCACCCAGAGCACAGACAGGGAGAAGCCTAAGTTTCCTTCAACCCATGCTGACTGGAGACATGTCTGCAAAAATACTCTATCTAGGCATGTTTCAAGTGAAAATTTAAGCACCAGGCATGGAACATCCCTCTGTCATTCAGGCCAATAAGCAAAAGACATTCCTAAGCAAAACAAAATACCTGCATCAGGGCCAAGTAGGAAGGGAGTGACTTGCTAGCTGAAGAATTAAATAGCATTGCAAAAGCCACCAAATTAACACTAATGGAAGTGTGATTTGGACATAATTTATTTGCAAACAAAGCAAGCCCAGCATTGAAACGTGAAACAGGGGTTGTGGATAACATCTTTCTTTGTGGAATGGAAAATATTTTATGTTCACATCATCACCTTCATTAACCAAGCTGGATACAGGTGTCCTCAAAATAGCATTATTATTTGCTAAAAGACTTCCCACTGCCAACCTCAGAGCCAGCTAATTAGGGCAGATTTGGCTGCAGCTGGCAGAGCCCATTGTCCGTAGGAAAAAGGGTTTGTCCATCCTCAGGGTCTGAAGGCCCCTCCGAGTAAACCCTAGTCAGGTCAACAGCTCCCTGATCACCTTATGATAAAATGCTGAACTAGGGAGGCAAGCAGGAAAAAAATCAGTGCGAAAGAAGTCAACCCAAAAGCGAGCACTTGCCCTCAGGTCCCAGCCCCACAAAGGAAGGGGACCTCAAGCTCTGGGGGATAGACCCCAACACGGAAGTGAAAAATGATTTGAGCCGCGGTGAAGGCACCAAAGCCCAGAAATAGAAAGATAGTGTATACCTTTTGGAGCTTTTAAGTGAGAACCCTGTTTAAAGGGCAGGTACAGTCGCACAGATCTTTTTACAGTTCCTACCTTCCTTTTTTCCTCCCCTCTCTATTTTAGAGAACTGTAGAGCCGGACATCTCAGACTACAATGTGCAGACAGATCACCTGGGGAACTTGCTAAGAAGCAGAAACTACTTCAGTAGGTCTGGGGTGGGGCCTGAATCTGCTTTTTTAACCAGCTCCTGCCCCTGGTCCTGTTTTAGCAAGTATGTGAGTCACTTTCCCATACCTCTATGGTATGTGAGCACACCATACCTGACACCCACAATTTAAAGAAGGACGTTTAATGTGGCTAATGGTTTCAGGGGATCCAGTCCATAGTTGGCTGCTCAACCATGGTTGTTCTTGGCAGGAACATAATGGCAGAAGGATGTGGAGGAGGAAAGGTGATTCGAGTCATAGCAGCCTAGAAGGAGAGTGAGTAACAGCACCCAAGAAAAAGGGGCAGGGACCAGATATAGACCCAGGCCACGGCCCCGTGATCCACCCAACAAGCCAGGACCCCAACGTGCCCTTTACTGACCTCGCAGGCATTTCCGGATGCAGTCAAGCTGACGTATTGGAATCACAGTTGTGGTAGGATAGACAGTAGTCAGCAGTTGGCAGCATCCTTCCTTCTGCTTCCTGTCCTAAGATGACTGTGTGGACTAAGATGACTGAAAAGGTAAAGCCCGAGACAAGGATTTGGAGGTGGGAAGGTTAATTGGAAGTAATTCCAGAAGGCAGAGTGCTATGCCTAAAATCCTCCCTCCCCTATTTTTGTGTTGAAACTTAGTCCCCATTGTGCTAGCACTTTTAGGAGGTAACCATATCAGGAGGATGGAGCGCTGCTTGTAAAAAGTCGTGCAGGAGTGAGCTCACTGTCCTGCTCTTCCACCCATGAAGACAGTATTTTCAGCCTCCTGGCCCCGGAGTACACAGCACTCGCCTCTCTGTCATGTGACAGTGTGACCAGAAGACCCTCCCCAGACAGTGAATCTGCCAGCACCTGTACTGTGGGCTTCACAGCCTCCAAAAATGTAAGGAAGAAAATTAACTTTTTTAGAAAGTAAATTTCGGGGCTGGGAATTTAGCTCAGCAGTATAAGCGCCTGCCTTGCAAGCAGGCAGTCGTGAGTTCGACCCCTGGTACCGATAAAAACCGAAAAAGACAAAAAAAAAAATTCCCTGTTACAATGTACATTTTAATTGGGTTTTCTCTTACTGGCATTCAAAAGCATCCTAACCAATAGGAGACAAGCCTACTGCCGAAAGATCCTCTCTATCCCTGGGTCCCAAGTGAAATTGTAGCCGGTCCTGGAAGGGAACAGGGAGCCCTCACCTCCAGAGAGTGAAGTTCAACTTGGGAGTCCTCTGCTGTTTTCTGCCTGCTGTGAAGAGACTTTGGATACTCTCTGCACATCAAGCTGCTGTTTCCACCCTCCTCCCAACTCCCACAGGTGATTTGTTCTTCCCGCTCCCACTTCCCTAGCTGAGCCTGGGCTAAATCCTGAGCACCAGCCTGTTTGGTTGCCAAGGCGGGAGACATGGCTTTCACCCTGGCAGATCCACATGCTGGCAAGTGCTGATGGGCCACGGCTCCTGCTGCAGCTCCTGTCTTCCTGAAGGAACTGGGACCTCTGGCTTTGATTTCTGTGTGTTTGATTTTAGTGGATGGTGCTCACAGACTGGGGAGTTTGGGCTGATGACCTCTTTGTGGAGGGGAGATCACTCTGTCCTAGTTTATCTCCAAAACCCAAGTCTCAGATTGGTCTCCTCTCTTATGGAGAGCAGAGTACGTCCTGTGCAGGCGTGTGGGGCGGGAGAGCAGAAAGTTCAGAGTGAGAGAAATGTGGACAATCTCAACACTTAAGAATTTCAGATCCAGTTGAGGATATAGCTTAGCAACACAGCGCCTGCCTGGCAAGCGCAAAGCCATGAGTTTGATTCCCAGTATAAAACAAACAAACAATCTCAGATTCAGTTCAGGAGGCGCAGTGCTGACTCTGATGAGCTGAATGGCCTCAAGGAGTTAAATAAATGCAGAGTGGGCATTGGGTGTGCTTGGGCATGCACCCATGGCGACAGTGCCATGGACTAGGAGGAGACACCGCCACAGTTCACCTTGTTTTCGGAAGGCTTGGTAAAGGAGGAGGCTCTGGTTGGGAGAATGTGTCAGGATTGCCATATGTGAAGGAGAGTCACGCTTTGAGAAACAGCGAGAGATGCTAAGTCAGAGGTGTGACTGGCTAAGGTGAAGCATCTCGTCTGAAAAACTATTTGACAAAGACAATTGGCATCCCTGCTGTGTGTCAGCGACTATGCTGACTGCCATGGTTTATGTCTGTGGCCCCCAGGCCTCATAAGTTTGCATTGTGCATTTGTGATGCTTCATTGTCTAGTGCTTAGATTGATGGGTGGAGCCAGGATGTGATGTAATGGCAGGAAGAAGGCGTGTCTTGCTTTTTGCTGGTTCCTGTTTGCTGTTTGCAGCTGCCATGAACTGCGGCCCAGCCATGCCCGCCTGCCTGGGAGCCAACTGAGTGTGGACTGAAACCTCCAAACACTGTAAGAAATAAACCTTTCCTTTCCCAACTTGGGCATCAGGTATTTTGTCTCAGCGACGAGTAAAAAGTAACTAAGACACTGACCGTTGAGGATTTACTCAGAATACAGCTGTTGTTTGTTTAGTGGCTCTCGGTCAAGTAGGGACAGGAAAATTCTTAACTATGTGGGCCCTGCAATCGCTGCTTCCCCTCGGGCACCAGCCCCATCATTCCTACCCTCAAAACGACTTTTGAACCCAGGCCTTCTTCTTCCTCTAAAAATTGGCTGCCTTCGCTTATCTCCAACCCTTATCCCGCAGCGGGAATACTGCAAAAGCTGCCTGCCTGTCGCAGCCTCTGGTGCTCAGTTCTTCCCACGCTAAGTACTAACTGGATGGCTTCGCAGAGTCAGTCTGAGCATCCTTCCTGTTCACTTCTGCTCTCTCCTTTCTCCTTTCCAAAAATACCAGTCATTCTAGTTTGACTCTCCAGGATGTTAGCCCAGCCTGGTGTTTGCAGAGTACCCAAGAGGAAAAGATAAGATTTCTCTGTGGGCTCCAGAAAAGACAGCCAAGAAAAACCCAAAGTACAGAGCTCCCCTTGGAAGCCTCCAGCGCAAAATGAGTCCTGAGGGTTGGCTGGGGCGGAGGAGAGAAGAAGAAGCTGAGGACAGTGCTGAGCCTGGAGGGAAGATTCACTGTGGGGTCACAGTCTGCCAGGTAAGTCCGAGCAGCAGCTCCTCTAAGCTGGCTCACCTTGCCAAGCGGCTGCCACGGCAGCAGCATCGTGGCCACTGCACAAGCTGCACGACCAGGACAGACACACAACCAGGACAGACAGCAGGCTGGATTCCAGAGAGTAACAGCAGGAGCGCATTCCAAACAGCAGTGTATCGCTAGAATTTTTCCCTTTCGCTGCTGTGCTGCATTCCGCTACGAAGAGGAAACAAATCAACAAGACCGTAGCACAGGTCCGTGTCACTTTCAGACCGGAGAGGCTTTTCAGAGGTAGCTCACAGCGGGGCCAGGGTCTGCAGCAGAATCCGAAGACTCTCTTACGGTTTTGGTCCCAGATGTCTGGTACAAGCCTCCCTATACTGTGCTGTCACCGCCGGGACCTTCTGCGGGCCGCCTGGTTCTTCCCACTCACTGATCCGGCTCCCACTCGTTCCCTTCCAGTCCTCACTGACTCACTGCAGACCTTAATTTTGCTATTTCCAGTTCATTTTTCATTCTCTTTTTAAAAATCCTTATTTATGTCCTCTGTCTCCATTTTAATTTCATTTTCTTTGTCTTGACATCTTGGCCTTTCTGCTCCAGTTTTATTGATGTCAAGCAGCCTCTAAAATATTACCATAATCCTGTGGTAGATCATTGTGAAGGAATTCCTCTCTCCGAGAATCTTTAGGGTATTCTTTCCTTCTCTTTACTCTGCAGTGGTTTTTACTGGCTGTTTCCTGCTCATTTATCCTCATCTAAGAACAAATCCACCCACACCGAGTGTTTACTAACTCATTGGCTTGATGGATTTCCCTTGGCCCAGTTCTCAGAGAGGTGGTTCTGAGCTATTTTTCCAGATCTGCCGCTGGACAGCAGTTTGATGCACACAAATAGCTCTGGCCCAAAGCCTGTCACGTAGCTGACTGGCGTCTGCAAAGCTTTGCAGAGTGAGCGTTGAAGCTCTCTGTCCCCAGCACCTGGCCCTGTGACGCTCTGAACAAGTGGAGTTTGTGAAATTCATCGCCATTCCTTCCTCTCACGTGCGTCCCTCTTCTGCTCTAGCAGTGGGACTGCACCTTCCCGACTCTGCTGGGCGGGACCCAGAGCTTCCCCCGCTGCGGCAGTGGCCAGAGCTGTGGTGTGAGGCTGCCCACGCAGTTCAGATAATGTGTAGTCAGTGGGAATCCTGACTCCTCCGGCAGCTCACTCGGCCGTGTTAGTGTGCTGTGCAGCTGCTTCTTGTGCAGACTGTTCTAGTAAAAGCCACGACAGGTGACGTGTGAGTGCTTGTATGGAGAGAGGCACAGCTAGTGCTTCCTTGTGCTGTGTTGTAGGGTTTTTGCATCCGAGCAGTGGCCTCTGAAGGATCTGCTGGGCGGTGACATTTCAGTGACAAATCCATACTCCCGCTTCCCAGCTGAAGGCAACCAGAGCTGCATGAGCCGTGGGAATACAGTTGCTGCTGCCTTCTCTAGGGACACTTGTCCACTTCCCAGAGCCCAGAAGGATGACTTGGAGCAGGGAGACCACCACAGCCTGCAGATTAGCCTAGGTGGGTCGACACTTGGGAGTCCCCCTCCCAGGAGACTAACGTGGGAATGACTTCAGTTTACTACCCAACATAAGTCCATGCAGAAAGCTGCGGAAACTGTCTGACGGAGACACTGGTTTAGTTTAATACTGGCTCAGTATCAGGATGAATAAGGGGCTGCTCTTCCAGCCGGGTGTCCAAGAAGCAGAAAGGCCAGCTGTGTCTCCAACAGAGGTTGCCATCTGGTGGGAGCGACAGAGATCAAGCGAGTGAACACTAAATATATGCACAATTGTTAATGAAGAAAACGCTATGACTGGAGGACAGACCCTAAGTTGGAAAGAATCTGAGCTGGAGTCCAGGAAGTCTTGGTGAGGAAGAGACACAGAGGCCAAGGAAATTCATGAGGATGGACGACTGCAGCTGGAAGGAACAGCGGAACGGCACAGCGAAGCCCAGAGGCCGCAGAACTCGCGTGTCAAGCAACTAAGTGATCGCCGGTGCAGCTGGAGCTCCCTGAGTAGGTGGGAGAGTCTGGAGAGGAGAATGGGACGTGGACAGCTGTTCAGGGTGTTTGGGGGGGTCGACAAGCAGTAAATAAATGACTGCCAAGTGGCAGCGTGGTCCTGCTGAGCCGAGCACCCATTAATGCTGATCCAAGTCAGCACCATGCTGGGGCCTGCTCCAGCCACACCCTGTCTGTTCCTCACTCTTGCTGTGTTGAGGAGACAGAGGAAATCCAGCTTACCCTTCCTGCTGGGCCACCTGTTGCCCTTCAGCTGCATTTCTCCAGCCCTGAGTGAGGGACCTGTCCAACTTCCTCAGGCACCTGCCCCCAGAACCATAGCCTGGGAAAGCCTGATCTCCATGCAGGGTCATATGAAGACTGGCCTCTTCTCCTCTCCTCTCCCCTCCCCTCCCCTCTCTTCTCCCCTCCCCTCCCCTCTCTTCTCCCCTCCCCTCCCCTCCCCTCCCCTCCCCTCCCCTCCCCTCTCCTCTCCTCTTCTCTCTTCTCTTCTCCCCTCCCCTCCCCTCCCCTCTCTTCTCCCCTCCCCTCCCCTCCCCTCCCCTCTCTTCTCCCCTCTCCTCCCCTTTCTTCTCCCCTCCCCTCTCTTCTCCCCTCCCCTCCCCTCCCCTCTCTTCTCCCCTCCCCTCCCTTCCCCTCTCCTCTCCTCTTCTCTCTTCTCTTCTCCCCTCCCCTCCCCTCCCCTCCCCTCTCTTCTCCCCTCCCCTCCCCTCCCCTCCCCTCCCCTCCCTTCCCTTCCCCTCTCTGCCATCTGTCTCCCAATGGAGATGAGGTGGTCTTTCAATCATCCTGGGCTCGGAACCCCCCTTACCAGCTGAGATTCCACTGTGGGAGCTCCACAGCTCCTCCCAGCACCTTCTGAATGGAAGCCATGGTCTTGCTTCTCAAACCATTTGCCTTTTTATTCACCCAAAGCGCGCACCTGGACTTCCCTTTCTCGGAGGCCTCCCCTGTTGGAGTGATAGCAACTACCTGAGACGCAGTCAGTCCTCCCAATGGAATGTCTGCAGGTGTTTCTCAGAGCCCACCCACCCTCTTCTAGTTGCACCTGAAATGAACTTCCTGTTCTTTAGTCCTCGGCAGGGAGCATGGCTTTGCCATGACCCCCAGGGGAGGAAATACTCAAATGACAAAAAATAATTAAATCACCCTGTTCAGCTTTTCTTTTGCCAGACTAATTTAAATCCCTGAACCATTTCCTTTTTTGGGTCACATATTTAAGCCCTATATATTTAAAGGTTCTCAAAGGTGAGTCTTATTATTTACCAGGGTAAAAGCTTTCCCAAAACAATTCTAGCCTCAAGGACACAATTCTTTGCAATTTTATGGCACTTAACTTTATTCTTCCAGTGCTTTTTTTTTTTTTTTTTGCTCATAAATTATCTTACTTTGTCCACTTAATGACTCCGTCAATTAGGGAGGATGGATGTTATTTTCTCTCTGGGGGAAAACACAAAACACAGCTCAGCTTTGATTTACTGTGGTGGAGAAGTGAGATGAGCTGGACCCGCCTGAGGCCTCCCCCATCCCTGCATCCCCCACCCCGGTGCTCAGCTGACCTGCTCCTCTGCTGAATGCTTCCGCCTTTTATCAAAGGTCATCCGAGGATGGTGATAACCCACCTTTCTTGAGCATTTAATATATTTCAGACACTGCACTCCCTAAGTGCTTTGCATGCGTTTTATCTTTCAACTCCCATGACAAGGGAGATGGTTCTATTATTGTCCTTGCTTTTCAGGGAGTAACATGAAGCTCTGAGAGGTTAAAGGAGTCACCCCGACCCATGGCTGCAATGCCAGAGGCTCAGACCCTTAGGCCATCTACTGCTCAAGACCGAGCTTCGGGGTTTCACCGTGGTATCCAGTGTGAGAGCCATGGTGAGGGCGTTGTCTGCCACCCTGCAAAAATATGTTCCTGACAGTAGCGTGCTTTCTCAGCGGAAATGGCTGGTGGCTGCTAATGTTGGATTTTTTGCTTTGTATTGTCTTTTGACTTTCAGTTAATGACAAGCTGTGTCATAGTGGAAATCAGCAACAGTTGAGCACTAGAAAGCTGCAGCTTGGAATGTGTGCTGGGAATCAGAACCGGAGGTGCTGGGAGCAGCTCTGCTGTGTGCTTGTCTGAGAGGCTCGATTTACCTGTCGGAACAGAGGTAGTGATAATAGGTGTAGAGATCATGGTGAGTGTTGGACATCGTGATGTGAAAATATCATTGTAGTATAATGTGTCTTTTTTTCTAGCAAGTCTGAAATCCTGTTGGAAGAGAGAGTTCC